GTGCGTGGCGGCCGCAGGGGCGGTGCTGGCCACCCAGGCCAGAAAGCAATTGGGGTTCAGGGTTTAGGATTAAGGGTTTAGGGTTGAGGGTTTGGGGTTTTGGGGTTTAGGGTTTAGGGTCCCAGGGTTTAGGGCTTAGGGTCCCGGGGGTATTTAAGTTTAGGGTTTGGGGAAGCCTTGGACAAGAGTACGAAGTCTTAGTCAGGGTGTGAAGCTATCGAGCCTCATTTTAGGCTCTCCATGGTTTGAGGCTTACTCGATGGGTTTCCCAGCAGCACTACTTGTGGCAGAAGAAGCCCGGCGCGATGAGAATAGCCGAACTTCGCAAGAGCAGCTGCCGCAGACCCGTAGCAGTAGTAGCAGCGCTGCAAGTTGGTAACATGACGTTTTCAGTCGAGGCTTGCTGTCTGTGAGGAGTGTCTGGGTCGCGTCGTTGTGCTGCCGTGCTTGTGCAGGTGGTCAGGGAGTCCGAGCGACGGCGCTTCCGTGGCCAGGCTGCATATGGACAACATGACATAGACCACTGGCATTGAAATAGTTCGAGTAGGGCTCCTCGTCGAAGCTATGCTCATTCTCGCCGTCATAGCCTGTGTCGCTTCAAAATCCGCCTCCCTCGCATCCGCATCTTTGTGCTGATCTCTGCATCTGAGGTGACCCTAAGATTGTGGATCAGGTGCTAGAGCTGGATGGTTTGTGGGCAGGGGGCTCGATGACTCCTGTGCGACATGCTGATTCGCAGTGAAGCTTGAGAAGTCAGACCAGTCCAGCCACTCGAACCCAGATCTGATATCTGAGATGAGAGATCGCAAAGGTCAAGCAAAAGTTCCAGCTGGATGAGAAGCGCAAAGAGGCTGAAGTCCTGTCTATGAATCATATGAGCTGGCTTGCTTGCGGGCCTACAACCTCAACCGGCATCGTCAAAAGCATCCTTGCTGTTGCTGTTAACTTTCTCTTGCTGATTGTCCGTTCAGCCGGTAGTGTAATGTGCTGGAACTCTGGGCGTCAACATGAGCCGTCTACAGTAGCACCCCTCAGGATCCCCAAGCTCACCAGCCTAAGCCCAGAAGACTTCGTGTTCGACCCCGTTCTCGCCCCGAGCCTATGCGGCCCGGGTGTCTGGGCCGCCGGCTCTTCGCTCCTTTGCTTGCGGGCCTCCATGAAAGCACCGCCAGTGCTGCACGTGGCAGGTGAACAAGGTGCAAAGCCAAATCACCGAGAAGAAGAAGGCCTCCAAGGGCCAAGATAAGTGCCCGGCTCTCAGCTGTGGTTCTGCAACTCTGGAGTTGCTGAAAGGCAGTTTGCTGCATGTGTTGCGGATGCCCTTAGTCTTCACGAAACTGCATTTTCGCTTCGGGTAAGCACGGATCCGCGCAGGCCTCTGGTATTTCGAGCGTTTTTACCTCCTGGAACCCCACACGCATCCTCTCAAGCCAAGAGGTGAGGACCTGCTGCAGCAGAAGACGGCCCTTGAGGCTATTGGCAAAAGTCTTAAGTGACTTAAGTGTGACAGAGCGGAAGGTATGGCCTACCAGGCCAAAGCAGTGCAGTGTGCGCACACATGTGAGAACGGTGAAACGAACTGCTCCACTAATCAGCCGAGGAAGTATCAGAATCTTCTTCAGACTTCTAGAATGACAGCTTTCGGATTAGCTTGTGATGTAGCTGCTTGAACGCCAGCCCGGGGATATGCAGGGCAAGACCCTCGTTGCATGGCCAAAGACTGGACTTCACCAACCTTATTTCAGCCACAGCCTACTCCATCTGAGGCCAATCAATCGAATCTTCCTTTTCCCTCCCATGCTACGCCTAAACCCTAAACCCTAAACCCTAAGAGAAGGGCTCAATCCCATGTCGGCCAGGGGGAGGCAGCAGATTTCGAGAAGGTCGTGGAAGAGACCCAAGCCAAGCGGGCCACTCTGCCATGGCTTTTGCTGAGACTTCGGGCCCAGGAGGTTCAGGGCCTTTTGGTGGTTTTCGGGGCGTCTAGGAGTCTAGGGCCTACTTGACGACATTGGATTGAGGATTTCAGCAATTAAGGCTCGTCCTTTTTGAGTTTTGGTTTCAAGGATCTTGCACAGCAGAGCAGCAAGTTCAGGCCCTTTCGAGCATTGTGCCCGTGTGACTCTGCGCCTGGTTGCTTCACTGACATCGGGCAAACAGAAAGCAGAGCAGTACCGAAGCTCGGGGTTAAAATTTGGGACATTTTGGGACCTTTCCCGAAAGAGTTTGCAGTTGGGACTGCAAGGAGAACCTCTGATGTACAACATGCGTGTTTTGTGTTGAACCTTCCAGCCGGCCAGCGGCTGGCACCATGGCAGGACAAGCTCCTTGGTGCCATTGGAAATCTGGCTGCAACCTCGTTGCTCCATGTGTCTACTGTGACCATGTCCAGACTTGGCGAGCTTCTCTGGGTGTGCCCACGCCGGCGCGGCAAGAGAAAGCAGCAGTCACCATGCCGTGCTGCCAAAGGTCCACGACACTGTTCCCGTCTCCCAAGATGAGGACAAGGACAACAAGGCGCGAGCGAAGGTCTTGTGCAGGGATGCCATGAAACTAGGGTAGCGTCCTCTGCAGAAAGCCGGGTCATGTCAGGTGGTTGCTACCTGGGGAGTTCCTCGCAGCTTCGAGGGCAAGACCTACCAGGCATCCCTTCTGAAAGCAACACCTGCTGCGGCTGCCATTGCTGATGACCACGATGGTATTTGTGAGATGAGGGCGATGACGTAGACTGAGGGTCGTGATGATGAGGGTCATGATGCTGAGGCTGATGACGGTGGCGATATTGGTGATGCTGGCCATCCATACGTTGAGGAAGAGGGGATCGCAGCTCCTATCGCAGATGAGAGCAGCATAGGCCCACTAGGCCCACTAGGTCCACGGCTCTCTCGTGGCAGGCAAACGGCTTCCGGCCGCACTTCGAGCTGCTCGAGATGATCGGCGCCGTCGAGTTCGACGCCGGGCTTGAGGCCGCTTTTTCCACCTTGTTTTGAGCGGGGTTTCTGAAGAGGGTTCTCTCTCTTTTGAGGCCCTTCTGGGCTTCAGAGGGGAGTTTTTGCGACTGGACCTCCCGAGAGGTCGCCGGCCACCGGGGCTACTTCTTGTCGGGCCCCGGTGTGCTGCTGAACCAGGCGTTGATCAACTATGGCCGGATGCCCACCTTGAATTCAGCTCTGCCGGGTTTCGCCGCTTCTCGAGCGGGTTCACGTTCCTAAATCTTGAGGGCTTCGAGTCTCGGCTGTGGGCTGTTCTGTTCGAACACCGGGACCACCGGGACCACTGGCAGTGACCACTTGCCAGGGTGTTGGGCCCAGCTCCGTCGGTTTTGATCTGGAGGTCTGGCCTTCCTCTCGCAGCGCGGCTACACTCCCCTGCTGCCGGCTTAGGGATTCTGTGGCCTCAACCTCCACCCGACCTGACATGCTTTTCATCATTCCAAGGCAGCCGCCCTTCTTCATGAAGAAGGCGCCCGTTTTTGTAGTCTGGCGTGCGGGCAGTCCGGAAGGTCCAGGTAGGCCGGCGCCTGAAGAAGTGTTTGTCAACTACATGTGATGTCCGAAACCTGCATCTGCTTCAGGCAGCATGGGTAGACCAGAGCTTCCCCATTGTATATCCATGACGGGAGTGGCAGCACTCACATTGCTGGGAGGATCTGATGGCCAAAACGGCAGAGTTGGCAGCGGGCCTAGTAACTCGTGCCCCGCGCATCCTGACGGGGGGGGGGACCGGTGGGAGGCTGAGAGCAACTGGTCTCTGCAAGGCAGACTATGACGATGTCTTGTACAAGGTCATTGAAGACAAGGCAGGTTGCTGTGAGCCGGAGCACCGGAAAGGAGAAGTTATATATTATAACCGTTTCAGTGTCCTTACAGCAACCCCTTGCCGTTCTAGTACTCCTTGTTAACGTGGGTTCAGACTCGTGCAGAGGATCATCCCGAGCTGGACAAGTACCTCATCGCTACCTCGGACTGCCTTTGGCACACATTCTTGGGGTTGAGGGTTTAGGGTTTGACATTTGTGTTCTGCGGAGTGCACCTTGCAACGCTTCAGGGGCTTTCGACGGTGTCAAAGTGCTGAGTGCTCTAGCATCCCCAAACTGGGCTGATCCAGGAGCAGCCAATCTCCGCGTTCCATCGAGGTCAGACGATCGACAAGGCACAACGGTAAGCCTGTCCTGCAAGGGCGCTTTGGCGTCTTCGGCCTTGTACATGGGGGCCGAAGTCCGGGGCGCTGTCGCCTTATCAGAGCGATCCTGGACCGTCCACCCGCCGATTCAAGCTCTGAAAAACCCGAGAAGGGTCCGAAAACCCTGAAGAAAAATGGAAGCTCTCGCCTTCAGACCCGCTTCCCGCTCCGCTACGTCGGCTACTCGTCCTGCTTCCGCAGGGAAGCCGGGAGCAGCGGCCGGGAGCTCAGCTCACGAGAAAAGAGGACGAAGAGTTGGAGTTCCTCATAGTCTCAAAACGAGCAGCAGTGGCAGCAGCGGTAGCAGCAACAGCTGTAGCACCCGCAACAGCAAGAGCAACAGCAAGAGCGACAGCAAGAGCGAACGAAGCTTCTTCTTGTTTCTTCTTGTTGTAGTTGCTGCTGCCGCACTTGAGAGCCCCTAAGCACAGAGCTGAAATCTCCAGTAAGGCCGGGATATTCGCGGGATCTTCCGGGTTCACCAGTTCGAGAAGATCGAGCAGTTCGTGCTTACCGATCCAGAGAAGCGCCCACCTTGGCTCGCGGATTTTGGGCTGCCGGGATCTGCCCGTTTTTTTGTTTTTTCCGGCGCCGACTTAAAGAGAGCCTTGGGTTTCGGTGAGCTGCCAAGGGGGCCCCTTGCAAGGTCTTGGGAGGAGCACGAGTCCATGATCGCCATGGCGCAGGAGATCTCAAAACAGCCGAGAGCCCTCCGAACTCTCAGAGACCTCAGCCGCCTGGAGAGGAGTTCTACCAGAGCCTGGGCATTCCCTATCGAACCGTGGCCATCGTTTCTGGGGAGCTGAACAACGCAGCTGCCAAGAAGTGCGCAGCGAAGTCGGGAGGCGCTGTTTCAGTTTTTTTGTCACTGCGATTTCCCGTTCCCCAAACTCCTTGGGCCCCGAAGCGTGGATGCACGTCACCAACCTGCGATGAGGTACGATCTAGAAGGATGGTTCCCAGGCGACAACGAGGGGAAGGGCAAGTGTCGGCCCCAGTGGAGCTGGCTTTGGGAGGCTTTGGGAAAGCTTTCGAGTTTGGGGGTTTCCGAAACTAGGGGGACCTTCATATAGTACCCTAAATAGTAGGATCCTTGTTATAAAGGACCCCAAAATAGGGTACCCTAATTTTCGGAAACTCCCAGTTCCTCTCTTCAAGGGGGCCCATTGGAAACCTGGACGGTGGCCTTTAGATGAGTCCCATGCCTCTGATGCTGCAGGGGGGTTGAGGCTACCCAAAGCACTGGACTCAGGTACCGAGAGCTGGTGTCTTGCTCGAACTGCCTGGACTACCAGGCGCATCTTGTTCCCAGCCCGACTCGGCAAGTCTTTCAAGACGTGCTCTTACGGAGGAAGCAAGCAAGAGCTGTTCCGGGACTCCGGGCTTGCCCTTATGTCTGTGATGAGAGTCCCCGATGGAATAGGCGTCTTGCCAAAGCTCCTTTGGAAAGCCGCGGAACCGGACACTCAAACAACAGGCCGCAAGAGCCGCAAACCCAAGCTCCAAAAGACCACAGCCCCAACGCATGACCCCCAATCCCGAAGCTGTGGGCCCCAAACCTCGGGAGCACCCTGTCTGCAAGCAGAACCCGAGGCCCGACACTTAAACCCCGAGCCTCCAGCCCTTGACAGGCCCGGGCGATGCAGACCAAGTTCGGCTATCGGCCGGAGGACCCGCAGATTCCTCAGCTGGCAGCCTGAAGATCAGCATGTGCAGCAACAGTGCTGATAGTAGTAGACTCATCATCCGCATGCTACGACGACGACGACCTTTTGTTGTCGGTCGTGCTACTGCTGCCACTGCCACTGCCACTGCCACTACCGCCACCACCATCACGACGAAAAACCGCCGCCACCGCCACCACCACCACCGCCGCCGCCGCCACCACCACCACCACCACCACCACCACGACTATTAGTACTATTACTACTACTACTACTACTACTACTACTACTGCTACTACTACTACTACTACTACTACTACTACCTCTACCTCTACCTCTACTACTACTACTACTACTACTACTACTACCTCTACTACTACTACTACTACTACCACCACTACCACCACTACCACCACTACTACGACTACTACGACTACTACTACTACTACTACTACTCCTGCTATTACTAATTCATTTTGTTGCTGCTGCTGCTGCTACTACCACCACCACCACCACCACC